CTCCCCGGGAAGAAAACGAAAATTCGATAATAATGAAAAAAGTACAACGTACAGGGCAAATAATGACGAAAATCAAAGTAAATATTAGCCCCTCCCCCATCTGCATGTTATCGATGTGGATGACTACAGTGGAATAAGGATTGTCGTTTTAAATACAAAAACTGTTTTGCGTGTGGAAAAAGGGGTCACAAGGAATACCAATATGGGAACAAAAAATTTACTAGTAGGATAAGAGCGACTAGAATGCATGACGAAGACAATACGAACATAAGGAACTATGTGGAACTTGAAATCTTAAATAAAAAGATAAAATTACAACTTGACACAGGTTCAGATCTGACGATAATTAACCTACAAACATGGAGAAAGCCTAATAGACCAACAATGTTACACACACAGAAAATTGCTTAGTCTGTTACAGGAAAGCATATAAAATTCGAAGGAGAAGTAATCCTAAATGTAAAATTTCACGGGAAAACAAGAAAACTCAAAATATTCGCAATGAAGGATACAGAAAATCTGGTGGGCACAGACTGGATGCAGAAGTTCGACGTATGGGATTGACCTATCAGTTCTTTTTGTAAAAAGATAAAGTGCGAATCATCAGAATTTATAAAACTAAAGGAAGAATTACATAATCAATTTCTGAAGTATTTTCGAGCAGGTTGGGTCGGTGTAACAAATTTACAGCCAGAATTGAATTAAAAGAAAACGTCCAACCAGTATTTAAAAAGAAGAGAAACGTACCGTTTGCCACTATAGAATAAATCGACAAATAATTAGAAACTTGAACAAACTGGGATCCTGTCAAAAATAGAGTTTAGTGAATGGACAGCACCAGTAGTCTATGTAAAAAGAAATCAGGGGAAATCCGTGTATGCGGAGATTTCTCAACGGGGTTAAACAAGGCAATAAAAGACCATCATTACCCATTACCAAGCCTGGAAGAAATATTCACCAAAGCTTAACGGTGGCAAGATATTTTCAAAAAATAGATTTAAGTGAGGCTCATCTGCAAATCCCAGTACAAGAAGAGAGTACGAAAATCTTATGCATTAATACGCACAAAGGGCTGTACAAATCCAACAGACTACCATTCGGGGTAAAAAGTTGCACCGGCAATTTTTCAGCAAACGATGGATACAATGCTCATGGGCCAGAATTTTGCGACCGCGTATCTGGACGACATTCTAATTAAAAGCGACAATGTTGAAGAGCACATCGCTCATAAAGGAAGTTTTCAAATGACTTCAGGACGTTGGGTTTAAAGTAAAAGGAAAAAAATGTGATTTTTTCTTAAATGAAATCAAATACTTAGGGCATATAATTAATGAAAATTGTAGAAAGCCGAACCCACACAGGACATTCGCAATAAAAATATGCCTTAACCAAAAAAATGTCGCGGAATTACAAAGTTTTCTTGGCCTAGCAAATTACTACAGCAAATTCATCGAAAATATGCACAGATTGAGGGCCCCCCTCAACGAATTACTAAAAAAAGAGAATAAATGGAATTGGAGAGAAGAATGTCAGAAAATGTTTAAGGAGATAATACAAAAATTAACGTCGGAACTAGCACTAACTCATTTCGATCCAAAACTAGAAATTATTATCGCGAGTGACGCGAGTTCTCACGGAGTAGGAGCTTGCATTCTACACAAGATGTGTGATGGCACAAAGAAACCCATAGCTCACGCATCATGACCATTATTACCTGCGAAGAGGAACTACCCGCAGATTGAAAAGGAAGCACTAGGCATTATATTCAACATAACTCGGTTCCACAGATACATATATGGGAAAGAGTTTACGCTTCAAACGGACCACAAACCTCTTACTATTTTTGGATCAAAAAAGGACTGCCAATGTATACAGCAAACAGACTTCTATGATGGGGAACTATGTTACTGAACTACAATTTCAAACTTGAGTTCTTACCATCGAAGAAAATTGGGCACGCTGATGGACTATCGCGATTAATACCCGCAAAATGCGAACCGCTGGAAGATTCAGTATGAAATTAGTAAAGTGTAATGCAACACAGTAAAGAAACTGCCTGTGACCTTGCTCGAGATAAGAAGGGAAGCAGAAAAGGATGAATTTATTCAGAATACCAAGAAAAAAAATAGAAGAAAAGGAAAGGAATTTAGCAGACAGCTTCGCAATTTGTGACCACATATTGTTATATAACGAAAGAGTAGTCATACCAAAATCGTTACAAAGGCGGATTTTGAAGGATTTTCACTTAGGACATCCAGGAAAAAACCGGATGAAAGCACTTATGAGAAGTTTCGTCTACTGGCCTAACATGAAGAATGATATTACGCAAATGGTGGAAAGATATAAAAGCTGTGCTGCTGCGGCAAAAGCACCACCTATACAGAAACCATGGCCTAAAGTGGACAGACCCTGGTCCAGAATTCATGTGGATTATACGGGACCCATAGAGGGTTACTACTACTTAATAACAGTAGATAGTTTCAGTAAATGGCCAGAAGTCTTCAGATTCAAACACCCGACGACGGAGAATCCTATAATCTGCCTACATGAATTATTCGCGAGATTCGGTGTCGTGGATTGCTTGGTAACTGATAACGGCACACAATTTACCTCCAGCGATTTTAAAGAATTCTGTGAGACGTACCAAGTAAAGCAGATTAAGATAGCTCTGTATCACCCACGGTCTAACGGGCAGGCTGAAAGATTCGTAGACACACTAAAGAGAGCGCTAAAAAAAGCAGGGATGTACTGACAGAAAAAGCTATTCAACAGTTTCTCCAAGTATACAGAATAACACCTAACGGGAATACACCATCTGGTCTTTCACCAGCGGAAGTGATGTTTGCCCGGAAAATACGGTCTGTGTTGCCTAACAAGAATAAATATCAGCATACGCCTATAGTACCTAAGAGATCATTTAATCCAGGAGAACGGGTTTACTTATATACCAAAGACTGTATATATATTTTGCTACTAACACGTATTCCTGGAACTACTAACCTGCTTTACCAGTTAATACATTATTTTCATATCTTCATTCCTGGCGTTTGTTATTTATTGGTAACGGATTTCAAGCCGGAATCCACAACAGTAATTATGTCCAGAAAACATGTATATACACAAAACACTGAGCAACATCTAACATGTATTCAACCGTGAAAGAAGAATAACACATATCATATTTTTATTACTTCAAAGAAAATTAAAGCTCATTATTAAATGCCCCACAAGGAGTTGATATGCAACTGTTTTAAAAATAGAAATGTAAACACCACTTGATGTTAATAATTAACACTAATTACGCTACGCAATTGAAAATAGATGAGATCTGATGAAAAATTCAATATTTTTATCTTACACAGAAGAGTGGCTCTCTCTCTCTCTCAGAAAGTCTGAATCGGAAAATAAGTTGACTGTTTTTGGCACACATACACTGATATATATATATATATATATATATATATATATATATATATATATATATATATATATATATAACATTCGAACATTTAAGTTACGACTACAAAAATGAACTTAAATGTTCGAATTTAATAAATTATAATAAATAATTATTGCTCTGCTTTTGTAGTGAACTCTTTTTTATATGAATGTTATGAAAGTTTGAATTTATATTCGTTTCGTTCTCTTTACATTTGTGTATATATATATATATAGGTGTATATGTATATATTTATGTATATATATATATATATATATATATATATATAATTCTTAGTACTACTAATATAGAACGTTACAACAGTCGGATTTTCTATTGTAGAGATAGACCAATGATAAACGAGAGATTTAGTTAAGCATTTGTTTGGCAATGAACATTGGTCAGGATTCTTAGAAAATTGGTTTAGAGTTTTATTGTTGCGTATTTTTATAATCTTTTCAAGATTATTCAAAAGAATAATGGTTATAAGTGCGTTGAAATCCATTTTAAAAATACGATGATAGTGGTCTAAAGAAAAGAAATAGAAATAGGAAGATCATTTAATTCACACACCCTATTTAATCAATTTGGTAGTAATAAGCTAGGCCATAAATTCCTCCAATTGACTGATAAACACTTTCCTAAAAGTAACCCTCTTAGTAAACAGAAATACATTAAATTCAAAGTTAAATAAAAACCAATTTTCTTTGAGATCTTAAAAGTAAAAACACTACAGTAAAACTCTAAACCAATTTAATATTCTGAATCATAATACAATTTGTTCTATTTCTGCAATAGAAAATCTGACGTTTGAAAAGGCTAGATATCAATATATATATATATATATATATATATATATATATATATATATATATATATATTAATTATAGTCTGTCCATAAATTATCGGTACAACATTAATTTATTACGTCTGTTAGAGTTCAAATCTGTCGAGACACTTTGCTTAGTAAAGAAATATAATTAAAGTTTTTTTTTGTCTTTAATATACTTTCGTTTATCTTTTGAGGTTGATATTAAAATGCTTATTACTGCTCTTTAAATATTTATTACACCACAAGGGAAATTGCAATGTGTGTCGATGTTCATATGGACCAAATAAGACACTCGGATCCAATGGAATTAAAATACAAAATGTGAAATAGCAAAAACATGTTAATATTCGTGTCTGGCACAAGAAGTTTATGCAAACAGGAAAAGTCTTGAAGAAAAGGAAATTAAGCATTGTTTAGATGTGTTCCATGCAAACAATGGAGCCCATGAGGAAGTCTCCGGGCGTGTTAAAATAAAACCATGTTTGCCAATGTTATCCAATATACTCTGTTGAGTTATTGCCATTTTAATGTTTCATGAATTTTTCAAATTGTACACATAATTTATGGGCACCTCCTCTGTATGTATATACCTCTCTGTATATATCTGTTTTGTATGTATATCTCCTTGTGTGTGTCTAGTTCTCTCTCTGTCTCTCTCTTTGTCTTTGTCTTTCTCTGTCTGTTTTTGTTTCTGACTCTCTCTGTCTCTTTATGTATGTCTTTTTCGATATGTCTGTCTCTATGTCTCTCTTTCTCTCTCTCTCTTTCTCTCTCTCTCTCTCTCTCTTTGCTTCTCTCTGTCTTCTTTTCTTTCAGTCTGTTTCCGTCTCTCCCTCTCTGTTCCTCTTTGTGTATGTGCGCGTATATATATATATATATATATATATATATATATATAGTCGACTCTCCCCGTCGAATTCGATGTATGAGGGTCAAGCAGATCAGTTACCAGGAAACCGACAGCCCGACAACAGCACATGAGATTCGATTATAGTGGTGAAGACTTCAGACGAATACCGATGGCCACATTAAGAAAAATCCGAAGAATTCAGTCGTCATAGGTAAAAGGAAGATTTTGTTAATTAGAAATACTTAGAACCTGGTAAAAGCTCATATTCACGCTCATTTCCTCAGATAAAAATTTGTGTCGCAGGTGAAATAATTAGTAAAGACCCACATTACGAAAAAAAAGAAAAAAAAAAAAACAACACCAGCACCAATAATACAAATATTCTGCTGCTGATATGATTATTATTATTATTATTATTATTATTATTATTATTATTATTATTATTATTAATAATAATGTTAATCATAATCATAATAACATTGCTATTGTTAGTAGTAATAAAAATATAATACTATTACTATTAATACTGCTATATTTACTAATACTATTAATCGTAATAATATAATAATACATTTAATAATACTAATAGTAAAATAATACTGCTTGTATTTAATAATACTAATACAATTAACAGGAATATAATATTAATATATTTAATATTATTAATAGTAATATTATACTACATTTGATAATACTATTAATAATAGTAATACTATTATTACTGATATAACTGCGATTAGTAATAATACTACTGCTATTAATAAAAAACAATGATGCTATTGTTAATACCTTGCTGCTTCGATACTCCTACTATTAATAGTAATTACAATACATGACATGATGTTTAAAGTAATAATGATAATATTTTTACATGAGAATTTAAGGTAGAGAAACGGTTGATAACCATACTGGGTTAACGCATAAAAATACGAAAGAGATTGCATTACCAGTGGTCATTGGAATACTGAAGTGTTGTACAAAATTATGGAAAAAAATGTTGCAGCTATCGGATTGTGATTTGTAAATAACAGATCCATTACAAAATGCTTTTAAAATGTTTATTTTTTAAGTTGCGAATATATATATATATATATATATATATATATATATATATATATATATATATATATCCTCTACATTTACAAGACCGGATCCGGGCGAGAGTTGCCAAAACCTCAGTCTCCAACCTATAAAAGCGCCCTGACACCTTGTGGGTGACGAATTATTCTTCACTCTTCAACCCCTCTCCCATGTGACAGGCTTCTGGGTGCTCTGTCGCTACTTCCTTGGAAAGTGTTCGGACGAACTACATTCACTGATCCAGCTAAGGCAAACTTTCAAGGCTAGGACCCGTCATGCCTCTTAAATAGTAGCAAACCACCCACATTCCCTCCATATTTCGTCGGTAAGAAGTAAGTTCCACTCGAGCAGATTCTTCCCCCGGGACTTGTAAAATTTGACTCTCTCTGTTGTTCAAAATATTTCTCGAAGAAACCGTATTATTTTTTTCAGAATGAATACTAAATTTACTTTAAATAATTTTATAAAAATGGTGAAAATATAAGCGTGCGTAATATTATACCGGGAGTCCCGAAAATAAAATGAACATAAATGCAGGATTTACTGACTTGCAAACAAGATTAACAATTAAGAAATATTATATTACGGTTAAAATGTTATAATGAATGAGATGTGCGATACGAATGAAAGAAGAGGCGGCAAGAAGTGATAAGGTTCAAGAGGATATATAACGATTGAAAATTGATTGTAGAGGTTAAAATTAAGGAGTCCAGGGAAGCATACACGCGGGAATCTGTGGCTGTTTATTACACAGATTGACAACTATTGAAGGAAAAATGTTTTTCATTGACTAAAAGCAGAGAAATGAAGGCGATTCAATGAGGGCAGAAGTAGCATAGCGTGTCCTAGCTGTGAAGGTCTGAACTGGAGGGACAGATTTAACCCAATTCTACGATTATATTAAGCAAATATGGCAGAGCAATCCAAATGATTTTTGTGCTCATTTATCAAACTCGATGCCTAGGCGATGTGAAACTGAAATTAATAATAAAGGTTACGGCACTAAATATTGATAAATATATTTTTGTTCATTTGTGCTATAACGTTTTGCTTTAAATATAATAATAATAACCATGCGGTTCTATAGCCTTAAATAAGAACAGGTCTAGAAGGATAAATTTGAATTCAAAAGCTGCGGAAGGTTGTTTGGGGATCTTGTGGCACCTAGTGCACCATCTCTCTCTATTCAGCCCTTGAAAAGTGTGATTGGTTCTGCGCATAACTTTCACCACTATAATCAAAATTGGTGTCTGGCTGTCGGTTCCTAGGAACTGAGTTGCTGATCCTCATACGTATATA